TATGGAGTTAAACTTGTCTTTGTCATTCTCAATTCTAAAAGACAGGTAAGTATAAGTAACTTTCATACAATCTGAACAACAGTAGTTATGAAATATTCAATGACATATGAAGCCATTAAAGTTAGCATTATTATAGATCTAAGTATAACCATTGAGGTAAAAGGAAAGGCTATGTTGTCATTCTGATCACCAGTAACTTTTTTAACGAGTGTGATGCCTGTTCCCAAAGTTTTGTATCACCCTGTTGGTGTTAACGTCTGATCAATTATATATGCATCCTGAACGGCTAGCTTTGATAATGTCATTTAGACATAAGTATTAGGAAAACTGGTCATAGCTAAAATTGAAATCCAGTACACGTGTTTTAAACTGTTTGGTAGATGCATCTTTATTTCGGTGCTCAATTTTATGCTGAAACTCGAACCGTATAAGTTACTAAGTCCAGAAATCCAATAACTTGTTCAATAGACGTGAGGTTTTTTTGTAAGAGTTAGAATTTTCCTGCCCTAAAAAAGATAAAACGTGCTTGCTGTATCACACTGCTAGCTACAATCAAGATGCAATGATAACTATTACCAAATGACAATATTGAAGCATCCACTCATCACGATATATATATCCCAATAAGGATCGATCATTTGCAATCCTTAATATATTAACTACGGGAAAAATCAAACAACTAGAATATCAGAAGGGGTTTTTGTGGATATTATAGTAATTTCAATAGCTAAGATCATGAACCAATTGAAGCTAGACCACCATGGAAAACCTGGAAGCACTGGATGACCGTTTCGTCTTATTGTGAGACTCCTCATAAGTGGATGTGTTGCTCGATTTCGTGTATTGGTTGAAGTTAGACATTAACAACGTTCGATGCCGACTTAGTGGTCTAGAAGTTAAGCGTTCGTGCACGAGACTGATAGTTAATGGGTTTGAATCTCGTGAGACGGGATCGTGGATTCGCACTGCTGAAGAGTCCTATACTAGGATGAGACGGTCACCTAATGCTTCCAGGTTTTCCACTGTGGTGTAGCTTTAATTGACTCATGATCTCAACTATTGAAATAAACAGAATATATCAGACATCAATTAGATAGGTGTTTACTCCAATCTATCAAGTAAATCCTATTTGTAGTATCAAAATATAAGGTTGACTTTTTTCCAGTCATTATTCAAGTGTATGTATAGCCTGTATGTATATACACATGCTTATATATATGAGTATCTACAGAAGTGTCCTTTATCTTAATTTCATTAGTCTCTATTTCAACATTTCATCATCTCATCGTTTATCTATACACACCTATTTTAGAAATTGATACATCCATATGTGTATGATAGGGACTTGTTGTTTGTATTGGGTATGGATAAGATTAAATACGATGTTATACAAGTTATTGCTGATGAAATCAAGTAAACATCAGATGAGTTCGATGCATATACATTTTTGTACATACATAAAGATTAATTATTTAAGCCTGTCTATAGATTAATATAAACTTGTTAAACCAATCATATGAACTTCAATATTGTATCTATCAGACACATTTGGATAATATTCTTTTTTTTCTTTCTTTTCTACTCACTTATACAGACATTTATACATATATATCTCTTTAATTATGAGAAAGAATTATACACTAAGATTTAGTTGCTATGTTATGATAATGTCTTCTTCTGGTGCCTGTCACTCCTCGTGAAGAAGCATAGACAGCTCACCAGCATTCTCCGTCCAAACCTGTCCTGGGCAATCCTTTCCAACTCTTTCCAGTTGTTATTCATCCTTTTCATATCTGCTTCTATTTCCCAATGTAATGTGCTCTTTGGCCTTCCTCTTTTCTGCTTCCCTTCAGGATTCCAAGTTAGTGCTTGCCTCGTGATGCAGTTTGATGATTTGTGTAATGTATGTCCTATCCATTTCCGTCGTCTTTTATTAATTTCCTCTTGATCTGAAAGCTGGTTTGTTCTGTCTCAGAGAAGGCTATTGTTTATGGTATCCGGCGAATGGATGTTGAGTATCTTGCGTAGACAACTATTTATAAGTACTTGTATCTTCTTGATGGTGGTTGTAGTAGTTCTTCAAGTTTCAGCTCCGTACAGTAGAACTACCCTGACGTTCGTATTAATGATTGTGACTTTGATATTGGTTGATGATAATGCCTAGGAAATAATAATTTCAATAGGATCTCTCAGCAACATACGTACTCATACTGATAAATGGCAGTGTTAAATTATGAACTATTTGAATTTCTTCTTACTATTCTGTACTCATACAACTTTTCATTTATTCAATTGAACTTACTTTACTCGTAGGTTTCGTTTTACTATGGATGTCTCTCACATTCATAGTGGCACTAATGATCAAACTTATTTAATGCTAGTCTGTGACAGATTAAACTAGGTTCCGTATATCTCTTAATCGAATATCAAACTACTTAGTCTTCGGTGTCCTGTAAAGATTTGAGTACTGTATGCGGCTCAAAACCGTGTACATAGATTTAGGTCTGGTAAATGAGTCAATATTGTCTTCTTTTTATCAGGCTGAGTTCAATTCGTCCCTGATATGGGTTTTTTTCGATTTTACTGATTTGGTGAACACTAATACCATTATTGTATCTTGTTCTCCGATTGTTTTAGGTAATAAGTTTGTTTTGATATCCACCCTGACACTCGAACCAAGTACTTAACACTTCGGACACCTATTACATTATTGTCTAAAAATGGCAATATCGACCGAATTCACTCGTCCACAAGGTGTATCTGCAATATTGATGAAACTAATGTTCACTGTAGCTCTCGAACCCGCATCATACAACGTTACTGTTTGAGACGTTAATACTGACCTGATCTCTCATTGTATTTAGGTGTTTACGTTGACAAACTGATAAATAGCAACCAGTTTCGTATTTGTCCAGTTCTTATTGTTGATCAAATTCTATAGACTTGAATGTGTGGTCTGCTGCGGGGGGGGGTAGTCTAGGGATATTCATGGTTGTTTTCATAGCCATCTCAGGAATTAGTAGTAGATAAGAGAAAGATCAGAAACAAGGCAGTCTGTTGAAAGTTGTGTAAATCCTGAGGTTTCCATCTTTTTAATCTGATTTTTTTTTATTGTGATATTGGTATACATAATTGAGTATGTGACATGTAGTAAGTATTGACTATCTTTTGCTTATTTTATTGAACATGTTGTTGTTAGAAATTTACTTTACTTACTAAGGAGTTTACTTACGCCTGTTACTCCTCGTGGAGGAGCACGGGCCGCCCACCAGCACTTGGAATAATCATAACAATACTAGTAGTAGTAGTATTAACACTGCACAAAATTCTGACTATTTTATGTTTAATTAACTGATAATGAAATCGAAAATATGAATAATAATAATTATTATAAAGGTCTGAATTATCCTGTTGTTGATATTCAGGACTCGGTTTTTGATCAACCTTTATTGGCATACCTGCACTCAGTATTTCAGTGGATAACACGTTACCGTAAGGTACTGAGTTAGGAAATCAAGACTTCGAATGTGCAGGTACATCCAACTAACGAGTCTTACATAGGTTGAACTTACCTGCCGCGACCCAAATATACTATAAAGATATTTTATAGAAACATCTGTGTTTTTTCTACTCGTATACAGTCTACTATACGTTGCTAGATGTCTACTGTATTATCCGATGTTACAATGTCAGTAAGGAGTATAGGCAATATGATTTCAGAAAAATTAATAAGTCCGTGAAATGAAAAGAATAAGATTATTTTGAAACTCAAGATTCAGAGAAGAAAAGAAAGTTAAAAGATCTGAGTCATTGTGACAAATTCTGAACCATATCATCTAACATCTCCAGTCACTGTGTGGATCCCAACTAGGTAGTCTGCACTCACCAACATGGTTTAGTCCAACAATCAACGCTTTTATGGAATAATGTAGTGTCTTGGTTCGACCAACCTATTACTCTCTCCCAACATACTACTACTTCAGCCAATATCGCGCATCGAGATAGATTGTGATCGAGTCTACGCAATACTTTCAAATGATGGAAAGTAGTTTTTGCTCAGGTCTTCTATGTTAGAGGTGGTAGAGTGCTAAGTTTTGATAAATTCTGACTTTCTTTGTGCTTGCTCTGTTCAATATTTTGACCTTTTCTACTTGAACTCATGTCCATTGTTGTTCGCATAAATTAATAGAAGTGATACCATATTTTGGCATTTAGTAGCTAGTTGGTGTTTATGTAGACATAGACGATGATTGTTTCCAAATAGCAACCATGTCTAAACGTGTTCTGTTCATTGATCAATTTAATTTTTATTGAATGTTTTAAAGTTCTAATAGAACACTCTGTAGCTTAAAAACTAAGCGAAGTTGAAAATAGGCCTTTTTGTTAATTGCTTTTGATATACTTGCATTATACTTTTCGATTATTACAACCGGGACCAAAGATCCGTTGGACAAGGTGTAATGTGTATTATTTTCAGGTTGGTCTTTTCTGATACCTCTTTCAACTATGGAAAGGCATCGACCTTGGAGTTACTGGTTGTCTGAAAAGAACAGTTTACTACTATCACAATCCGACATAGTCCGTATTACAATTGCACACTCAAACCGCACATTTGCTCTTTTTTTTAGTTTTACGGCTCTTCTTCAATTAATCTTTCTCATATAGAAGACGTAAATGATGAACAAGCCATTTAGAACTCAGCTGAATCATCTCGACTATCATGTCAAGTTACTAGTTATAGTCAGTCAAAATTCTAATCTGTATAGTAATAGTAATGTAATGAAAACTTTAAAATGAGAAATACAGTTTACAAAAATGGGATCGAAAGATAAAAAAAAGAAGACATAAGAAGAAGAAGAAGCCAAACAGTGAAATACAACTGCATTGCACTCTGTTACTGAATTTCACACTAATTTAATATCTTCAATACTACTACTTATATTTATCTTATTGTAATTGTAACTGACTATATCTGTCTATGCATATTTTATCTTTCACAGTGATTTCTTCATGTCAATCAGTAACGTTTGAGAAAGATGACGATAATTTGGCACATGTTGATTTTGTCATGTCAGCTGCAGTAAGTGTTTCTTTTTTTCTCTTTTCTTTTCGTTTTGTTGAAGAAAGAAAATAAATCTGTCAACAATTGAAACTGGGAAGTAGCAATAATGATGAATCTGAAAGAAGAAAAAAACTAGTTTTTCGTTCAATTCTCTGTGAAATCATGTGTTTATTGAATAATGAGACAAGTTTTTAAGTGAAGATGAAACATGAGTTCCCAGTGCCTCATCTGCTTTTCACTGATTCTTTAAATAATGTCATTCTTCAATGACTTATTTACTTACTTACTTACGTCTGTTGCTCCCAATAGAGCATAGGCCACCGACTAACAATCTCCAACCCAGTCTGTCCTGGACATTCCTTTCTAGTTCTATCCAATTTTTGTTCATACTTCTTATGTCTGTCTCCATTTCTCGACGTAATGTGTTCTTTGGTCTTCCTCTTATCCTTTGACCTTGAGAAATCCAAGTGATGGGGGCATATCTTGTGATGCAGTTGGGTCCTTTCCTCAATGTGTGTGCTATCCACTTCCGGCGCTTCTTCCTGATTTCTTCCTCCACTGGGATCTAGTTTTTTCTCTCCCACAGTACGTTGTTGCTGATAGTGTCTGGCCAACGTATCCGAAGTATTTTGTGTAGACAACTGTTATTAAACACTTGTATCTTTTGGATGATGGCTTCATAGTTCTCCAAGTTTCCTCCCCATACAGTAGAACTCTCTTAACATTTGTATTGAAAATTCTGACTTTGGTGTTGGTTGACTATTGTTTTCAGTTTCAGATGTTCTTCAATTGTAAACATGCTGCTCTTGTTTTGTCAATCCGTGCCTTCACATCTGCATCAGATCCACCATGTTCATCAATGATGCTGCCCAGATATGTAAATGTGTTTACATCCTTCAAAGCTCTGTGAAGTGTGATTCGATTGTTACATGCTGTGTTGTATCGGAGAATCTTGCTTTTCCCTTTGTGTATATTGAGACCTACTGGTGCTGTGGCTGTTGCTACACTGGTCGTTTTCTTCTGCATTTGTTGTTGCGTTTGGGATAGAAGGGCCAGATCATCTGCGAAGTCTAGATCGTCCAGCTGCATCCTATCTGTCCACTGTATCCCACGCTTCCCCCCAGATGTTGACGTCTTCATAATCCAATCAATCATCAGGAGACTAATTAAATAAATCACTGAGCAGTGATTTATATCAATGTTTGTCTAGTACTTCTTGATGCTGATCGAAATATATGGATGAAATTGCAATATGACTGCTAGTTTGAATGAATCGACATCAAGTGCACTGTGTTGATATGTAAAGTAGCGATTGGAGATAGTCGACAAGAAACCCTGAACCTAGCTTTTATGTTATTTGACACTCGTCAGCAAGGTATACATGCGATCTTCAATGCACTGATATCCCCGTAGTGGATACCTACATTACTTACTAATTCACATAAAGATCATTCTAGTCACAAACTGTATTATCAGATTATTTAAACAATATAGGGTTTTTTCGGCTAATTAAAGAATGAAGGTTTCATCCAGGGTACAATTCATCCCATATCTATTTGATATGGGCACCAGTACATAAGTAAGCTTTTCTGATACATTATCAGTTTTTTATATCTCTAGTGTAACTGAGCATTTAAAATAATATGCCTCACACATCCTATTTATATGTGCGCTGGTTTCTTGGAGAGCCATTCCTCGATCGTTTAACCTAGAGGTCTAATCCACAATACAGTGAAGTAACATCAGGAAATCTGTTCCCATGATAACCAGCGACTAAAATAGGTTCATACATCATTCGTTCCCTCAGGATCCTGGAGTACATGTACGCCACTTGTCTAAAATTATGATTTTTTTAACTCCCTTAAGTGGACTCTCCGTATCCCTCAATTTAGTTTAGGCGCCAGTTGTTCACTTTTTCTCCTCTTACTTTCCTAATATTGATGTTACTTTAACCCAGAACTCAGTATTTTAAACAAGTTTTGGAAATTCGGTATTGGTTATTGTAACCAAATGGTGTAATGCATAGTTCTCTGTCGTGTGAAGCGACTCATTTCAGTTCCAAGTTAGAACGTGGCTATCAATTCTGAGATATAGATTCATCATCTAGATGGCTATTGTCAAATAGATTGAAATGTTCATTTCAGACGCTATTGTTAGCTTTCATCTGAATCATTAATATTAATTTGATGTGATATTGTAGAGTGATGTAAAATGAATTGAAATGCACATTCATGTTCTATCACACTTATCATTATCTAGTTGTTAATTGTAGACATATGAAAGACATCAAGTAGGAGAGTTAGACTTTTTATGAATAGCTTAAGACAACAATTAATGATTTGTATGAATTGATTTTCGTTTCCTTTTATCTATGTTACTCTTAAATCTTACATTTACATAGATACAATAATTTGACATATCTCTATAATTTTTACAGTTTAAATCACAAGCTAACCTTAGACTCCTTTTTCATCCCAGTATGAGACTCGTTAGTAGGTGCACATCAACGACCTGACCTCCATGTATGAACGCCTAACCTGTAGATCACTAAGCCGACATCCAATAATCCTAATAACTAACTTCAATCAATAAAAGATCTTGCGTAACCCTCATCTATAGGTTAATCGTTCGCGTGTGATACCGTAGGTCTTAGGTCTTATGAATGCGCATTACTGAGGAGTTTCATACTAGGATGAAATAGTCATCTAGTGCTTTCGGGTTTTCAATCATAATCTAGCTAAGATCAGTTCATGATTTATATTGCGAAAAATTCTACAATCTCCACTAATCACCTGTACTAACTAATTTCTTTATAACACACACACTATCTGTATAATCATTTTGATTTGAAATAATTCCGACTTAGTTTTTTATGTTATAGTTTGTTGTGTAGCATAATCATATTAACAAACTGAATTGTTTACATAGTATATAATTCAATTGTATAGTTACAAATAACCAGAAACTAGACAGATGGTGAATATTACTATACAATACAACTGATACAATTGCAACTATGTATATTTATGTATCATTGATTACTTCAATATAAAAACTTAATATTACTAACCAATTCACTAAATGATCTTATCATCATTTTATACTTACTTACTTACTTACGCCTGTTACTCCTCGTGAAGGAGCATAGGCCGCTCACCAGCATTCTCCATCCAACCCTGTCCTGGGCAATCATTTCCAGCTCCTTCCAGTTCCTACTGATCCTTTTCATATCTGCTTCTATTTCCCGACATATTGTGTTCTTTGGCCTTCCTCTTTTACACTTCCCTTCATCATTTTATATCACCCACTAAGTCTGATTAGACAATTAGCGAAAAACTTGGAAGGATTCTTTTTTTCATACTACAAAACTACAGAACTCTACTGGAAATGAAAAAATAAGTCTCACTAATCATACTTTCAATATTACGAATCGACTGAAGTTAACAACTTCAAACCATTATTGATAATCTACTGACCTAAATTATAAGCAGTCGCTGAGATTTCTAAAGGTTATGGGTTTCATTTGTGGGTTGGGGTTATGGATTCCCATTGTTGAGTGAGAATTGGCTTTTTAACGATTATTGAACTAACGTCCAACCGATTATGGAAAATTGAAAAGTTCAGTAATTTTCACAACCTTCCATGTTACTCTAACTATTGGAATTTTATCGGTAACTGTGTGTCTTCACTTATAAGGACTTTTAAATTACAATGATTTTTCTTGTTCTTAAGTAATCTTGAATTATAATCAATCCTTACATAAACAGTATAGATCTAAACTGAGTACAGAAAACCTGTGTTTGATAAATTAATTTATTATCGTCAGTATGAACCCTTCATCAGTGAATACCCACTTCATTATAGATCAAACATAGGACCTACAGGTTTGGTGGCAAGCACGCTACATTTAGATCATTGAGTTTTGTGTTTAATAGTTCCATTACCATCCATTGCACGCTAATCGCCTTACACTCAACATGGTTCAAATACCACTAGTCATTATTTTCACTAAAACTTCTTAATCTATAAAAAAAAGTGTTTTCATTTATCCTCTATTATCATATTAAATTAATATTTAGATTGATATCATAAACGGATCACCACCACCATTGTAAACCTAGAAGCATTGGACGGTTATTTCGTTCGAGTATGGGACTCTTTAGCAGTGCGCATCCACGATCCCGTCTCACGAGATTCAAACCCAGGTTCTTCGGTCTTGCGCACTGAATTGGCATCCAACAATGTTAATGCCTATGAATAAAAGGACGAGTATACTGCGCGACAGTCCGTTCTGTTCTAATTTACGGCAGCGAAACATGGCCATTAAGAATAGAAGATACTCTTAAGCTGCTAGTATTTAGCCACAGATGCCTTAGAAATATTGCTGGCGTCTGCTGGGATCACCGGGTAAGTAATAGTGAGGTTAAACGCAGGGTATTAGGGAATGATGGTAAATCAGTTGATGAGGTTGTGAATCTTCATCGACTGAGATGGTTGGGCCACGTGTTACGTATGCCTGAACACCGATTACCACGACGCGCAATGCTAACCGGTGTTGCGGATGGTTGGAAGAAAGTTAGGGGTGGCCGAATTAAAACGTGGCATCAGTCCTTGAAGTCACTAACTTCTACTCTGATCCATGTTGGTAGATGAAGACTACTTGGTTGTGGTCGGCGTGACTCTCGTAATCAATGGTTAGAGACTCTGTGTGACATGGCTCAGAATCGATCACAATGGCATAGGTGTATACACTCTCCGTCCTCCCTTAAACTATGAGATTAAAACTGCTTTAAATCTTTCTTTCTACGAATTAATTCTTTCTTCCTGTACCATATCCTTACTGCAATCTTTCTTTTATATATTACCACCATTGAATTAACTACTTTTATGAATCCAGTGTTCATCTTGTTGTGCTAATGTGGTGAGGTATGGCAACTTGTACCGATGCATATATGTGCCTGGTCTTACGTTGTAGCTGAGACTGACTGACTGAATGTTAATGTCTAATTTCCGTTAATCTACAATATTACGCGATCGTTCATCATTATCATCAGTGAGCTACTATCTCACAACAAACACTGTTGAAACTTCACTGATCATGATTTCTCACTAGAATTCAATAATCTCTACAACCCTATACTGAAAATTAGTATATAACATTGTGAATTGTCATTTTCTATTATTATTGTTATTATCTTTGTAATATTGAAAAAGAGAGAGAGAGAGAGAGAGAGAGGAAAAAAGTCACTCATGAAACTGATGGGAATAAATTTTACACAAATTATAATTTTAGAGAGAGAGAAAGAAAGAAAAAAAAGAATAAAGTAAATGTTAACTTTCCTTTTTATCAAATCAACTCTCCATAGTAATATAGATAGATAGATAGACATATTCAATATATGTTAGATAGACAGACAGACATACCTGTCGTACATAATAGAATGACGCACTTGCGCGCCTCTATACACATATTATAATATCAGCTGTAGAAATGCTTGTTGTATTCATATGTTTATTTATTTATTAGTGTGTGTGTGTGTGCGGATAAACATATATAGATACACGCGCGCACACACACACACAATTGAACAGAGCTAGCAACTCAATGTTTATCTATGTATATATATATATATAGATATGCATTAGTTTATTTCATCAATCAAATTATGACCTAACCGAAATTACCAGGCCTATAGTGATAAACTTACTTAGTAGAGTAGTAGTATTGGTAGTATCAGTAGTATTAGTGGTAGTCGTAGTGACGAGTAGATAAACTATTAGCATTGTTATTTTTGTTATTGTTGTTGTTTAGTTTTCTTTTTTTTTTCTTTTGCTACATGGATAGAAAATAAGTGAATGCTATTCGTTATAAGCATTATTGATTATACTTCTTTCTTTTTTTTGTTGGTGTTGTCAACTATTCCGTCCATATTTTGTTTTTATATTCATTTGTTCTTTCATTCATTCATTCATTCATTCATTCACGCTTGAGTTTCGTTTATTTTAACAGTTGAAATCATGAAGGTATACTGATGGTAATGATGATGTTGATGATGAAGAAAGAAGAGAAAGAATTACAGAAGTTCAATAATAAAGGTAGTGACGACATTGAATTAGGCATTGTGCCTTATATTCTATAGAAGATCTAACTAAAACATTCAGTTTTATTTTAAGGACATAAGTCGGGATGACCTTTGTTAGTTATAGCTATGGATATCCCTCTAATTAATCCAACCTCCTTTTGAATGTCTATACAAAAGAAGTTGTAAACACTTACTTAAATAAAAAGTTCCATTTATTGGAAATTCAATAAGAAAATCGGTATTCGGCTGATAAGTAATTAGTCCTAGACTTGTGAACATTTTTTATGTTATCTATTCTGAAGGACAACTGAAAATATGTCATGTAAACCTAATAATTCAGTAACTTGAAGTATGTGATCAAGTCCCTTCTATTCTTGTGTGATAAGGAGAGTAGGTTCCATTTAGTCATTCTTTCATCATATGATTCGAATACCTAACTTAGTTGTTGTTCTTTGAACCGATTTTAACACTATACTTTTATTTTTAAACATTAATTAGCTGATTATATTCAGTACCCGAGTTTTACGTGAACGGATACTACTATATACATTGTTATGAATGTGTCAACACTTAGGTTTCTAAATGCTCTATATAGTGACAAAACAATTTTAAAGCCTTTAGCAGTTATTGCACAGCAATGTGTAGTGTTTTTTTTTTATGTCTTGATTTATACTGGACAATGGGTAACTCAACATTATTCACTTTTTACTTAATTATGCTTTATTAGCTAGTGTGAAATATCATAATCCCTTGTAGGTATATGTTGACAATTTCCAAATTCTAGACTATTCTACTAATTTCTACATATCTTGTTGAATCTCTGTACTTATCCCCTCTATTTTGTATCACTCTTCATTCATTGACACAAGTATGATAGAGTAGTTAAGATGGACCGATTACAATGAATAACGATATTACAAGTTTACTGAAGTTGGAAATCTTTTGACCATTTGAAAATAATGACTTGAATAGTCTAAATGTGCAATTTAATCGTCACTATGCCTGAATGTGATGGGATCGATTGTATTGCTGAAGAAATCTCAAACTAGAACTTAACAGATGTCCAAACTGAAGTTAATTAATTGATGCATATTAATAATTGAACTGATGAGTCAATTGAAGCTAGACCACCATGGAAAACCTGGAAGCACTGGACGGCCTGTTCCACCCTAGTATGGGATTCCTCAGCAGTACGCAACCACGATCCCGCACCGCAAGATTCGAACCCAAAAACTACCAGTCTCACGAGGAAGCGCTTAACCGCTAGACCACTGAGCCGGTTGGCATCTAACGATATTAATGTCTAACTTCAACCAATCCACTAAATTGTCGTATGTTGAATCATCCATTTATTATCATTTCACGTAATACACAAATCACCATGTGATTAACTCTTTTAAACAAAGAAATAAGTTTGTACACGCTGTCATCTACTTTAACTATTTCTCTAAATCTTGTTATACAAGCGTTGACAGACAACAAAAGGTGTATATTTTAATTCACGCAGTCATTTAACAAACATGTTTGACCGGTATAGAAACGAGTGAATGAAAACACTTAGAAAGCAGAAAATGATTTTTCACATGACCGATACATGTTCATGTGATGGAAATGACAAAGTGAATCATCTCAATGTAATAGAATGATTAAATGAAGATATTCGTGTACATACATATATAAAATATGCATACCTATGACGAAAATAACACTTAAATTTTACATCGTCTATTCTATTGGTAAACACGATATTAAAGTATTGTTAATTCGATCATAACACTCATTTTGTAGTAATTGTTGTATGCAAGGTGAGAGGTGTATGTAAATATTGAGGTCTGAAATGCAGCACTTACCCATCATAGTCGATATGACTTAACACTAAACAAGCTTAAACTCTAAGACAATATGGCAATAGAAACTAGAAATTGGTGACAATACGTGTTTAAGTGCCTTTCATAGGTATTTTAGATGAGAAAATACTGTTCCAGTGTTTGTGTATATCTGAAATAATTTGAAGCGAAAAGTTTTACTTATTGCTTTCTCGTGGTGGTGGTATTGTTTACGAAATAGAGAGGAAGAGAAGCGAATGTTCAGCGCTTAAACCGGGTAAGTGAGTATGGCGGATCCATGTAGAGGAGTTGGGAAACGTTTATTCCAAACCAATGGTGTATTTGTGCTCCAGGATCCTGGAGAAAACTGAAGTATGGACCTAATGTTGGTCACTGGCTACCATAGGACTGCATCTCCTAACGTTGCTGCACTGTCTCGTGGATTAGACCTGTAAGTCAAGGGCTCAGAATGTGAACCCCTAATGAAACCACTTGTTCTGATTTGTCACCCGAATGGTATCTCAACTCATACATATCCAATGATTTGTGTGGCGTATATATTTTTTGGTGCTCCTTTGTACCAATAGCTCAGTGGTAACATTTCTGACCAAATCTGCCGAGAAGTATCAGTCCCCTGAAGATTACAAGTACACCTTGTTGACGAGTGCCGAATAATACGAAACCCGAGGTCTCGAGTTTCCCTTCAAATATCTCTAAGCAATAATGTTTTCTTTCAAAACACTTACATTTTCATTTATTCCTCCATACACACAATAGTAGTAATAAGTTGTAGATGTTATTAGTCTATGGATGAACGCTTTGAAAGTGTTGAAGCATTCATTCAATTAGAAATTTACTTCAGTTGCTTACTACTAGTTTCTTCGTCACATAAACTTTTGCGCTCCCCTTTTCCTGGTCACATGTTTCAGTAATCTTTCATTTCTTTTTTTTGTATATATTTGTTATAGAATTTACGTGCTACAATGTACAGTCTACCGATTACAGCTCGCCATGTTGTTAAACGTATCGCTGGACGAATAGTACCAGCTATAGCAACAACAACTGCTACTGTCGCAGGTTTAGTCTGCTTAGAATTACTTAAATATGTAATTAACAATAATCAATATGATGATGATCATGTTGGTTCGTTTACATCTGAAAAGGAAATAAATACATTGGCGGCGACTACGACAACACTAAATAATTGTGAACACGTTTAGTTCAATTAAAATCTAGAAATAGTTTTCTTAACTTAGCATTACCGGTTATTTTGTTCAGTGAACCAGGACTGTGTCGACAAACACGTTTACCAAATGGAAAATATTTCAGTCTATGGGATCGTTGGATTATTCGACCATGTAAACAAGTTGATAAATATCGATTAACCGATTTTATTGATCAGATCAAGGTGAGTGATTATACTTTCGATGGTCCATAGTTATATTGTTCTAGATATAGTGTTGAAGCCCGATGTGATATTTAGATTTTCTTATCGTAATCATCTAAACGAATTAAATTGGGCGGAATAGTCAGCTAGTCATTATAAGCAGAGATGGATGGTGGCTAGCAATACAACCCAGGACACATGCCTACTTGAGACTCATCGGCCGGATACAGTCAGTCAGTCAAACAAAGCCTAAAACCTGGCACATGTGTATATCGGTTTATGTTGTCATACCCCATTAGCACGGACATATGAAATTGTTAAGGCGTCTCACAGTTGTAAAGGTAGTAACAGTATGAGTGGTGATTGAAAAGATTAGGCGTCAAAGATACGATTCAAGAGAAAAATATAAACCAGTGAAATTTTAAAAAAAGTTATGAAGAACTTGGAAGATCATAATTTGAGGAAACACAAAGAATGGATGCACCTGCGCCATTGAAAACGATTTTGAGCCATGGATAAGACACTTCCAATTAATAACTAACATTTCCAGTAACTTTGCCCGTTTATAGAATGAGGTGGGATTAAAAAATTTTTCTTCCCAATATATACTGAAACCTACTTTTCATTATGAGTTTGGAAAAAGAATGCAAGCTAGAAATACAAATGTAAACTTTTTATACACATAGTTCCCTTTATTATTTTAAAGAGAGTAAGAACAAAGGTTGGTGCAGAATAATATGAATTCATTTTATTTCGTTAGGTTCTCATCAGCTGCTTACAACCTAAAATATTTGAAATTTAACGTTATTATAGATATTGACATACTTATACAACAGAGGGCGGTGAAGGATGAATATATGTAACATAATGTGGTAAAGATTTCGTTAGAGTTAATGAGGTCATCAAATTTTTTGTTTCGAATATATAGAGTTTGGGAGGGAAGGTTCCAGAAAATTGAAATAGTGATTAGAAATCATGGAATTAAAACACATTAGACGATTATGTAATGAAGTAACTGAAAATAGATTAATGTTAATAAAGAGAGATATGAATTGAAATTGGTCAGTTATGAGTGATGTAATTATAAAATTCAGAAAGAGTTGAAATGACGTAATAAATAAAATAAACGGGGTTGGGGTGAATGTTACCAGGGCAAGGAAAGATTTATTACTGTTTCTTTTTGTATACAAAGATCTGGTTTTAAACGTTTGATTGCTATTGCTTCGGCGAATTTCAAAAGGTTTGAATTTGATTGTTTGTTGATTACCCTGAAGGACTTCAGTAAAATAACTTTAGTGACCGGTTTCAACCAGTCGTCCGTTGGACTTGGTTACACTCTTCGATCAATAATATTATCAATACTAATCCTATTTCAAGCTTATCTCTCCTAAGAACGAATGTGTCCTCATCTAGTAGCAGTAAAGGAATATAAAACCCTTCACATACTCCCAGGAATAATTATTCTTGCCAATGAGTTGTATTCTCTGTTCATTTATGTCTAGTTATTCAAGTTTAATTCTTATATTTCAATGGGACTCATCAGTTGAATGTACTAACGTCTCATTATGTTGATATTTTATATACACCCAATACCTGTTGCTTCCAATATCACTTCATTATTTTAGTATTTTATATAAAAACCGAGATGCAGATACATTCAGTTGATGAGTCTCAGATTGGACGAAACATCTTTTATTCCACTGTTAACCATAATCCAATTATACCATAAACAAAACAAAAAAAATTTATATGTGAATTAAGGTCAAACAATGTTTAGTTATTTATTTACTCATTTGTTTATTGAATTCTAGACTATTTTTTTAGTTGTTGTGGTTACAGATGAATGGTGTGTGTGTATATATATATATATACGCTAATTGTGTTTTGTTTTCATATCTAATAAGCTATTTTTTTACGTATTATATATATATACATATGCGTAATTTGTCGTGGTGTCGTCCTGGTAACAACTAGCAATAGTAATGATGATACAATTTGAAAAAAAAGCTTTTTTGGTTCTCATATCTTCTTCTTCCATTCATAAATTAATTTCATAGAAAGTAATCCTGTTTGCCATCAATCTTTTTTTATAAGTTATTACTGCTTATTCTCATTTAAATGTATCCTTATGATTTGATTTTGAATGTTGGTGGGCACTTCACTTCCTTATTCTCTTGTGATGAAAGCATTTTTCCCGTGACTATGATGATGATGATGATGTTGTTGTTGTTGCTGTTGCTAGATGACAACTTGAGATTGGCAATGATAATGAATGATACTGATCGTGACGCATACACATACTCAATACAACTGTAGATGATGATCACATCTATTATAAACATCTCGTTTGTAATCAATGTATCACTGAAAGTTTTAATTTTATGCACGAATAGTTCAACAGAATTCAATTTCACTCTATTTAGATATTGAACTTTTGTATCATTCTTTGGTTAAAGTCAGTCTACAGGAAAGTATGAACCTAAATTTCGTGCTAGTTGATACTCTTCAGCAAGGAGTATCTGCAATCTTGTGACAACTGATATTTTTTATAATTTTCACTAACCGCGTAACTCAGCTTTACAGTCTTAAACGCTATTCAACTGACAACTGACATTCTGTAGGAATAAGACATTTACAACTGATTGATTACTGATTGAACGCTATGTTCGTTTCCTAAGCTATTCTGTAACCCCCCAAGCTAGAACTATACAGCGACCCGAACAACGAGAGTGAAGACGCAAAGTATGCGAGAAGTACTTTACTCCAAGTTTCTTTTCAATACAGCAAATACAGGGTTTTTATAATATTTTAAATGTCCTTGAGTTGCTAGAAGATTCTGGAATGCTACTAAACATAGTGGCAGCGTACCAATCAACCAATCAGAACCTCTGCATGTGATGTTTCACTTCCTTGATATTTTTGGCTATTACTTCAAGTGAACGCTGATTGGAGGAAACGCTTCTTAGTGTTTCCTGATCCTTGCTTTTCTTTTGCAAAAGATTTGCCGGATCACCCCAAAAAAACTGTCATGTAAAAATTGGCTGCAAACTCAAATGGAGCACTGAAAGGTTCATTCGTCTTAGTTTGAAATTCCTCAGCAGTGCACACAAGAGATCAAATCCAAAATATTCAATTCTTGGAATAAAAGAGTGATTTCTAGTCTTAGTCATGTTGGTAGATATAGACTACTTGGTTGGAGTCCGCGTGACTCTCGTAATCAATGGTTAGAGACTCTGTGTGACATGGCTCAGAATCGATCACAATGGTGTCGGTGTATACACTATCCGTCCTCCCTTAAACTAAGGGATTAAAATTGCTTTACATCTTTCTTTCTACGAATTAATTCTTTCTTCCTGTACCATATCCTTATTGTAATCTTTCTTTTATATATTACCGCTATTGAATTAACTACTTTTATGAATCCAGTGTTCATCTTGTTGTGCTAATGTGGTGAGGTATGGCAACTTGTACCGATGTATATATGTGCCCGATCCCATGTTGTAGCTGACTGACTGAGCTTTGATAGTTGGTTGTTTGTTTAAATTGTGTTGAATACTGAACTTGATAATTTAATTGTAAAGCTTCTGCTGTCTTTCTGCATCTATGCAAAACACTCCTCATCGTAATAAATGAATAGTGACTATGAATGTGCGCTAACATTGAAACAGATGTTCTCAGTGTAGTAGCAGTAGTAGTAGGTAAACCTAACATCCATTTCTTCTTGATATCATATTTAAAGTGAATAATAATGAAAGTATATACATATATCATTGTGAGTGATAGCAGGATAGAAGGCATCAATATAAATAATTTGTTTATCTAACTGTTACTAAGGTGTGCCTTGATATTATAAGACATAAAGGTGAAAGATAACGATCCAGAGAGAGAAGGAGACATGGCAACAGTTCTTTGTATGTATAAAATAAAATGGATAGCTTCTCTTTTTTATCAATATCCGTTGTGCTATTTTTTTAACTTTCAACTTTGTGATGATGGAAGGCAACTAGTTAGAAGATGTGTACGACCTAAGGTTTTTTTCTTATTTTGTCATTATATATATATATATATATATAACATAGAACTCCCTAGTACATATATACATTGGTTAAAGTTACTACATTGCAAAATAAATACTCCCTCTTATCCTACAGAAAACATCATTAAAGCTTACGGTCTCTTTTAAGTCTTTGATCCAAGATTAGTGATTTCATAAACTAATGTGATGTTCTTAACCACTGAATTCTCATACTCCATATGCCATACAAGTTGCTTAAACTTATCTATCGTTTTAAAGTAGATAATTTTGTCAATCAGTTAGTCAGTTATAAACAAAGTAGAACGTGGCACATACATGCGTCGGTTCAAGTTGCCACATTTCATAAATCAGTACCAACAGATAAAATGAAGAAGATAGGTCCCAGAAAAGTAGAAGCAGTAGTAGTGACACTAAAAAAGGAATTAAACATAGGCAATATGATTTTAAATCATTCTTCCCAGTTAATTCATCACACCCAAAGACAAATCTTAGGATGACATGGTTTTTTTTCAATCATGGGCTGCTCCATTTCATTCGCTTTAATCTTCCTATACTTAGTTACAAATTGTTGATGGTAACTATTATCATTCAAATGGCGTTCACTTCTTACCCATTTTATCTTCTGAACATAATCTTCTTATAAGGTTGCAAGTCGTCCTGACCATAGCCGTTTTATAGACAAAAGCTGTTTATGTACTCTCCATGAATCCTTCTGACAAATCGGTTAGTTACGATGTGGAACCTGTACGTATGTATATTGGTTCAATTTTCCATGTCTTATTAGCACACCGAGATGAAGTTGTCAAACCAAATCCCGGAATAGTTGTGATAGTAACAGCATCAGTGGTAACAGGAAAGATTAGGTATCGAACATACGACTCGAAAAGAAAGTATAAATTAGCGAAATAAAAACAAAAAAAGCTATGAGGAATTTTGAATATCAGGATTCGGGGGAAGACAAAGAATGCATACATATATGCTATTT